AGTTTCGTGAGAGAAGTAAGGTCAGCATACCAAGGAAGCCGTCTAAGCATGCATGCTAGGTGCGCGCGCGTGTCGCTTGTGGACCAAGATTGTCTCCAAGAGCAAATGGATTTTAAAAGGCCGAATTAACATGAGTAGGGTTCACTTGACCTAAAATGGTAATAAGCCACACGCCACATAGAGGACAAGAGACAGACGATCAGAAAAGTGGCCAATCTAAGGAAATTAGGTAGATGACAAAAAGAAAACTAGTAAATGCAAAAATAAAAGTTAGCAAAGAGGAACGATAGATTTGAGACATCCAGCTGGCAGGCAACTAGTGTAAACCAAGCGAGTCTCTCTTATTCACATTTTCGGCACCTAGTTGTCGACCTTTCGTCATAGCAAAGCAATATTATCAGTTCAACGCTTACACTAACTTGGAGCCGACCGCCCCACTCAACCTTCAATAGGCGACTTCGACAAAAACTGAGTTTGCAGATTACCATTGCAGTCATTAAAAAACACACACAGTTGGACTTAGATCGTATTATGCGCCGCATATATAAAATCTCGACTGGTGCTGGTTATACCGAGATCGTCAATGAAACGGGTAGAACAAAGTCTGTTGTTCCGTAAACATGTGTGTTGCTAGTAGATTAATTCAACTTATAACTTCGGAGTTGACAGAAATGCCGGACATTAACTTGAAAAACTTAATCTACTTGGTTTTACTAAGCGCGGTTTTAATATCATGTTTGGTGACTGTGTTGTGCTAAGGTTTTAACTGGACGTGGCTTGTGAATGCCCACAAAAACGATAACAGACAGTCCACCAACGGAATGCGCCACAACTGGACAGGCAGTTGAAAAATCATGTGCGTCTAGGGCGGGCGGGCGGTCAACTGACTAGCCTCATTGTCTCACATGGAGAAGCAGAAACTTCTGACTACAAAAATACGCGTCAGTTTTGTGGGTCATGCCACAATATCTTTTTAACAAGCCATCCATATGGTCGCATTTAAACGCCCTCAGGAGGTCAAACCGTACTACTGTCTGCATGGGACTTTCAATGTGGTAGGGCAGCTAATCTTTTTTGTTTACGGGTTTGGCATGAAATCCCTACTTTTAAGAAAAGTGAATTGGGTGGAAGTGTGCCATGCCCCGATTGTAACCATCGCCGTATGGCGTGTGTCTCCGTTTCCTGATATTGGCTCGGATGATATCGGAAAGATCACAGGGGGCGTATTCAGTAACAACAGGCATGTAAACAGAGTCATGGCTTGGAAAGTGGCAGGCCGACCGGATAACTCGGGGCTCATGGAAGCATTTCGGGGTGACTAGAGGACTGGACGTTAGACGGAAATTGCACATTTCCCACGGTGACGCAGAGACCAACTCGCGTCTAATTCGCAAAAACTGGCTGGTTTGTTTTGTTAGTCATTACGCTTGCGCTCGCTTTCAGTAATCCTGACTCCGGTTGCAGTGGGGGTGAGGATGGAAAGAGTGCGGTTGGCGCTGTGCAAGTACATTATCAGTATAAACTAATTCACGCGTAAGTCACCGATCTTGCACCACCCTCCTGTGGGCACACGGTGGACATCGCCATGCACGACGGTCAACCAGTTAGGCTCCGGGCTAAACAAGAAAAAAACTTGGTGAGGACCGTCGCTGGCGTGTATGGATCAATTTTCTTCAAGGGGCCTCGACTTGATAGTGTAATTTAGGAATTCGCTACTAAATCGGCTACGCTTTACTAGCCAAAATTCACGCATGACCTACTCTAAAGAGACACCGAAAGTGAAACTATGTGCATGCCGCAAACAGTTCAATAAAAAAGCCACACACACAAGCAGGAAAATACACCAGAGAGGGGCGGAGGTCCTACCTGACTCAGATAATGGTTGCTCTCAAACGGTGAGTCCATAAGCTTCACGAAGTCTGGAATCAGCTTCTTCAGAGCCAAATCCATTTCGTCGACATCAACTTCCCCGGGCAGAAGAGCATCCAGGAGAAGGGGTTGCAGCAGAACTGGTCGGTCGGACGGATTGGTAACAGTGAGCTTACAGACGACCTGCTGTGACGGTAAGTTGCGTAGGGTCATTTCAGCTATACGTGAGGGTGCAAGCGGTGGCAACGAC